GCACCTTCCCGCTCCCGGCTCGGTCATGGCGATGGCGCCGATGCATTTGCCGGCAGTCATGGTGGGGACGAAGCGCTCCACCTGCTCCTTGCTGCCGTAGTTGACGATGTAGGGCATGACGATGTCAGAGTGCAGGGCGAACCCCGGGCCAGTGCAGTTGCAATACATTCTGGAGAGGAAGATACCAAAAACAAAAGAAATCTTATTTCCCCAAATGCATCGTTGGAACTCGTACAGTCGTTAAATCGAAACTCACTGCTCCTCCCATGTTATAGCGGTTGAATACAGGTCTCCCCCGATGCCGCCGTGCTCCTCTGGTATCATCACACCCAGCAGGCCTTGCTCACCAGCCTTCTCCCATGCCTCCCTGCTCACCTGACCTGCCTTCTCCCACCTAGGGACAAGGACCATGGATTTATTAATTCATATATATATTTTTTACCCCTTTTATCCAGCTTCCGATACCAATGACCGCCTGTTTTGACCCACTCTTTGTGATGTGGAACCACCTCCTCTTGGAAGAAACGCCGGACGCTCTGCCTGAACATGTCGTGGTCTTCGTTGAAGATGCGGCGGGTGCCGATGTCCATGAGGCTCCTGGCGTTGGAGGTCTCGGGTCGGGCCGGGGAGACATGCTGCCCGTCCTCCTGGGCCTGAGTGTGCTGATATCTAGAAGGATATTTAGAGGATGACGCCACCACAGCTGATGCCAAAATCTAACTACCGTAATCAAAATTGATATGGTTTTCTATAAGAGTATATTAAAAAATGGCTGCAACCAAAACTCAAAGAAAAAGAAAAACAACAAATCACCATGAATGAAAAAAAAAAAAAAAAAAAACCAATAAAAAAAAAAAAAAAAAAAGGAAAACCATTCAAAAACATGGAAAACTGAAGGATTTTCAGCCACTGGTCATGTTTTTTAGTTAAAAATATACAAGAGAACTAATAATAATAAAAAACAATATATTAAATGATAAACTATCCCTAGCATAATGAAATTAAAACAAAAATTAATTTAAATAAACAATTCCCGCCAAGGCACCAAACTGAGAGCTACAAAAGTATTTGGTACACAAATTATGTGACTTATGAAAGATGTTACTATGGAAACCAAGACAATTAAACAAGTGAAAACAGATGCATTTCTGTTTGCAGCTAATTGGCTAAACAAAAGAGCTAACCAGCTGTGACAAACTTTTTAGGACTAAAACCCCAAAGCAGATAATAAAACGAAATAAAAAATGTTTTTAAACCTTGGTCAGTAAACGTAGCGTAACTTTGAAATGCACAACTTATGCTTACTAATTTTTGGTCGTTTTGAAATAATTTAACTAACAATGACATTCTTAATTTTTCCAAACCAATCTTTTGTTTTTTTTAAATATTTTATCGAAGGCCATTTTGAGTTATATTTAAACAGAGAAGTCACTCGTCACATGAAAAGAAGTGTGTCAAAGGTTGCTTCGACCCACTTCCAGACCAATTTTGACAACAGTCGCCAATACAAATAAACTTTCACCATTAGAAGTAAATATGGCTATTAACACAAGCCAGCGAGCCATGTAAAAAAAATGCAATGCCTCACGTAAACAAATGTTAACATTTTGCTTGGCAAAACCTTAAAGTATTCACAAAAGTGTAGAAACTTATTCAGAACCTTGCGTTGGTTACAGAGAGCACTTGTCCACGTCCCAACGCATTTTTAAATCCAAAAACACACGGTTTGATTGCTCTGCCGACAAACATTTTGGCACTTAGGGAGCAAACCTTGACACAATTGAAGCTTGAGAAGTGAAAACAGAGATCATCTCCTAAAGACTGACGGACCACCTTGTTCCCTTAAACTTCACGCTGAGTGGTTAAAAACCGTGTTTTATGTCAATCAAATTTTTGAAGTATAACATTTTTCAGGTATGGCTAAATTAGAAATGATGAATACATTACATTTAAACCATTTTATACATGTATTAACATCGACAAGTTAGAAAATTCTACCTTCGAAAATAACATTGGAGTAAGACCTCTGTTTACTTTTTTGAGTGCTGAGAAATTTCTTCTTCTACTTTTCAAAACATGTATTTCCGCTAAGCACTGCCCCCTAGCGGTAAATTATATAGTCGGTGAAACATCGTGGAGGTAAAGGTGTATAAAAAGACAAGACCTCCACAACAAAAACAACATTTGTCACATTTGGGGGTGAAGTTGGAAAGCTTCCATCCAGATTGTGAAGTTGGGTGGTGGTAACTTCATGTTTTGAGGCCTATTCCTGTAGGAGGGTTAAACTTAATAAAATGGATGGCATCATTGTTCATTTGGACACACCAAACCACCATTGTCAACAGCCATCAGGAAGGCAGTTAAAGTCTTGGTTTTAACTGCCTCGAAGCATACTGCTAAATAACATACAAAGTGGTTTAAGGACAACAAAGCCAGATGTTCTGAAATGGCAAAAACACCAACTTTTGAGAGAAGCTTGTGGATGGGTGCCCAAAACATTTGATCTACACCCCCCAGAGTATAAAGGAAGTGCTACTAAACAACCAAAAAAGAAAAGAAAGCAAGACTCCTCAGAATATTTTTTAAACAGAGGTCAGGTGTATCTTTCCGAGAGGAGATGTGACTTTTGTTGAGCTGAGGTGAGATATGAGAAATGTTTTTTCCCCGTTTTACCTCCAGGGGACAGCCTTTCATAAGCTATTAGGATTTGCAATGTAAAAGCAACTCAAGAGCCAACAGGAAAATAATACAAAAAGCTTAAGTTAGACATTGTACATAAATATGAGCTGTTTCTTTTCCATATGTAAATCCCAAATTTAGCCGCTGATTAATTATCTTATAAACCCAAACTTTTTTTCGGAAAGAATGTAAATATGCTGTCAAAGTGTCTTCTAGCAAATTGTACTTACAAAGAAGAAAAACACAGTTGGCTGTTTCATACTATTTTGCCAATAACTTCATAGTGTTTCAGGGATAAAAAAACCAAAAACAAATTTCAACATGCACCCTTTTCAGATGTGTGCCAATTCTTTGTTGGCACACATATTTTTTCTTGACAAAGGCAACTGTATCCTCTTGAAGGGTCTTGTTACCGTCCTGTACGATGTTCTGTACCCATTACCCAGAAATCTCTGGAAACTCAGGTGGGGTCTGCCAGCGGCGTGGAACTGTCCAGAGCTGACCAAGCCTGGGCTAAGATTGTTTTCAATCTTGGGTGTTTGGATTCAACCCAGATTGATTGTACAATTGGACCAACTACAGACCAAGATTCATGACCCTGAATACATAAAACCCTGATCTAGTCGCAGTCTCCGTAGCAACAAGACATGAGCTACCCTACATGGACAGTTATATAAACAGGTCCACATCGGTTCAGCTTTTCTTGGGCCGAACCCCATTGACCGTAAGGAACTGGAGTAGACACTAAAGTTTATAGTTATTTATCAACTTCTGGAGTTCTAAAGCTTGTGTTTCAAAAGGTGCATGTGAGCAATGAGAGATCAAGAATCAGCCCAGATGGGATGTACGTTGGAAAAGTTTATTTTCAAATGTACAGAGTGAAAATAAATAAAACTTTTCAGGGAAGTGGGAGACTTTTGGCGGTCTATCCTTGCCCGTTCTCCAGCACCTTTGGCATCGCTGGGCTAGTGATGGCGTTACTAAATGAGGTGGTGGTGGGATGGGAGGGATCTACCCTCACTTGATGAGTGGTCACCCCTTTCTCCCCCGTTCCTCACCCCATGTGGCGAGGGGAGACGCGCCCCGGTGTGGGGGGGGTTAGAGGCCGAGTGATGGGTGTCTTCAACGGAGAGGCGATGTCCTGAGAGAGGAAGGGTTTGAAACGAAGTGGAAAGGAAAACAAAATAAACAAAAAGATGGGCTGGCTTCAACATCCCTTGTACATAGTCCTTGTCTTTCCTTGGTTGGTCTTTTAAACAGTGTAGATGTCCTGAACACCGTCGGGCCGTCTGTAGGCGAGCTACAGTTTCGTCAGCACTGCTTCTGCCGGCCTCTTACACAGACATGATGTGCTTGACGAAAGCTGTGGGAAGAGGGGCGAATCGTTAGCTACCTGTATTCGATGCAAACTAATAAAAAAAAAGAAGAGGCCGGGATATGAAAGCCTACCCTCGTAGTGCACACTGCCGTTCTCGTCCTCCTGTCCGGTCATGAGGGCATCGATCTCAGCCTCGGTCATCTTCTCTCCTGCGGATGCGTGAGGATCGGTGTCAGGGCCAGGCTCTCCATTTCACAAACCCTCCGTGCTAAGCAAACTATATTTGTGCGACTCTATATTTGGGCACTCACCCAGGGTGGACAGCACGATGCGCAACTCAGCACCCATGACTGTGCCGTTGCCCTCCTTGTCGAAGACACGCAGACCCTCAACGTAGTCATCGTAGCTTCCCTTGGGCTGGGCATCGACCTCCTTCAGCATGGGCAGGAAAGCTTCGAAGTTGAGCCTCTTGTTGGCCATGTCTGTGGAGCGACACGCGTTCGTCTTAGCGGGAGAAAACCCCTAAAAAAAAAAAAGCGTACGTTTCTCGACCCCCGCGCTCGGGACATCGGGATCCCCTCACCGTCGGCACTTGGGTTGCCCAGAATTTTGGTAACGTCCTTGTTAGTGGGGTTCTGGCCCAGAGCGCGCATGATGTCGGCCACCTGGTTGAAGGCCACCTGGCTGTCACCAATTCTGTCAAAGAGACCAAAAGCCTCCTTGAAGTCTAGATGGTCGGGGCAGAGATGAGAGAGAACACGGGGGTCAGAGTTCTGGTCGAAGGAACCTACTCTACGACAATGCAAATGTTATTGGTGATATTTCCAGCCTGACGTCAATGTTTCCCCCCTTCCCGATTGGGACTATCCCCCTTCGGCTTATCTATTCTTTCTCTTACGGGATTCCTCCTCGCCCCGTGGCAGCTGTGTGGTGCCACGCCGCACGGGGGGATCAGAGACGGTCGAAATCCGCACGCTTCCACCATTGTTGGCGGCTAATTGGGCGGGACAGCTGTCTCCGAGCAGAGAAAATGATGACTGGGGGGGCCGGGACAAAGGGTGGCCTTTTTCTCTGAATCCCATCAGAAGCTCAAAGTGACCTTTTTGACAGATTAATGCTCCTGCGCGGCTCCTGAACAAGAGCAACAGCTGTCCCCTCCATCTCCCACCTCCCCCCCTCCCTCCCCCTTCCCCCCCACCCTCACCCACACCTCCGCCTCTCTTCATTCTTGCTCCTGCTTACAGTTTGGGGGGCATCTTTGGGAGCAAACCGATACACCCCGACAGAGAAAACCCTGCCCATAAACGGACCGGGGTACGAGCTGGACCTCGGAATGCTGACTGCGGTGTAATCAACACCCGGTTGCGAACATGTCTCCAGAAGCCCAACGCTACATGGGCCTTTGCTGTCTGTTTCTAACCTCTCTCTTAGCACCGGCCAGTCAGTATTTACAGTCTTTCGGTTGCAGACTATAGGGATGAGGATGCTTTGGATTGTTTGTGTAAGGTGATGCCAGCGGGCATTCATCTTAAACTTTGACCCGTAGGATTAACGCCTCAATGGCTTGCAAGACAAGGCTAGGGCGTCTGAGAATAGACATCCCACGAGCCTGGGGAATGGCATGCCTTATGGCCGTCCTTCGGCCCGACTTCTACCTTCAACCAGCAGCTGATTTGGACAGCGGGATATAAGGCTGCAGCTTCTATGGTTGTTTATTTAGTCCGATTACTGGGAATTCTCTACACCGGCTAAACTTTGATGTCTGTTTTTCGTTTGTTTTTTCTGGAAATATCACACTTAAATGTCAATTGGTCATGTCTGAGGATATCTCCTTTACTTACCCTCAATCTGGTCCGCTGTGAACTCAGTCTGACACAAAAAGAAAACAGAAATGTGAAAAGGTTTATGAAAGAAGACAGAACAAAGGCAAAATAAATCCTAAGCAAATGGTCTCGAAAAGTATTTTTGTCATTAACAGGTGTCTTGGATTTTTCTACAAGCTCTCACAGACCTTGAGACACATTTAAGGAATGTACTGCAATCAAAAGGCCCAATTTTACGGGTCATTTCTCGGAACCGGAATCCAAACTTAGAAAAAGAGGTAACTCCATCAGTAATGCCCCACATAAAAGGTCCAAAAGACAAATCTGTACACACCATTTTGCAGAACAGGAGCTGGAGGGAGCGGAAAGAAAGGAGATGAGAAGCTGAAGTCCCAAGACAGAGTGGTCCTGGGCCATGGTCAAAGCCCCCTCTTTATTTATTTCGGGCATGTGATGTCACGTATGCTAATGAGGCGGATCGGATGACACACTGGAACATCTTTAACTTTCTTAGGGAAAGAGGAGCTACGTGCCCTCGGAGCGCCGGGAGAAGGCCTTTAGAAGGGGACGGGGCTATTTTTGGAAGGTCAAGGCCGTGTAAAGTCGGCGCCGCAGGACGCACCGACGCTTTTATTTGGCCAAAGAGCCGAACGCGTCAACTTGGTTTTTCCGATCTTGGGTAATCCCGCTCGGAAGGCGGGGAATGAAGGAAAAAGGCAGAATACTTCGCTGCTCAGCAGCTCGCTTCAGACGGCCTCCAGACCCCGGAGGGATCGCTTACGAGGTGGTATTTTTAAACAAGACAGGCTGCTCCTCCTCTTATGGTGAAATGACTTGAAAAGTTGCCTCTACGAACATCCAACTTTGGGTGGCAGTGAACTTGAGGGCTGTCATTTTCCTGACAACACCGGAGTGGGTTCGTTCACCACCCCAGAAACAAATCCACTCCAGATACTTTCAATAAACGAGCAATAGAGAAAACCCCCAAAGCCTTATTGTGTAGTTTGTTTTGTTCTTACATGAATTTAAATTTGTAGACAAAGACAGATGGCAAGTGAAAGGTAAATCCTGTTGGAGGCATTTTGCCCGAGTTGTCTGTCTGGTCTTGGTGGTTGGTCCTATGATGTGAAGCATCTTGGGGCTTCAGATCTCATCCCAGTTGGACACAAACTCAGACCGACAGGTTAGAAAAAAAAGAAAGGAACTGAGCAGCTCATATAAGGCCGTTTGACTCGTATTCGCCCAGTCATTCAGCAGAGCTCTCCATGGTGCTGACAACAACGAGGGGCCCTGTTTAGTCCAGCTTGGGCACAAAGTGTCCGACATTCTCAACCAGGTGATAACTATCACGCACATATCGTTTCACATTTGGTATCTTCCACCAAAATCGGCCATTTTACCATGTCCAGTAACGGCATTTCTATTAGACAAACACACATTTGCAAGCTTTGAGTTTCGAGACCAAATTAGACAATTTAACCCTCATCCACAGTATTTCTTTAAATATTTTCACATTTTAAACAAATGACCTGACCACACCTTTCTGGATTTTAGGGGTACAATTGTTGACAGTTCTAAAGCTTCCTCGGAAAACAAAAGGGCCGGTATGTTGGGAACTGGCAGCAAGCATGCGTTTGAGCTTATGCCAATAAGCTCAGTTGAATATTTTCCCATTTCAAATTAAACCAGTGCAAGCGGTCTAGAAGGATCTACGTTACGCTGACTTTGCTGAACAGATCTGACCTCAATACCCCAGATATCTGTGTTAAAAGTGGGTCTTAAAGGCATATTACGTCAGCCCCCTACAGGAAGGCCGGCAGGTTGGGGTATACAAACCGGGTCTCGCTGCCCTGGAAGAACAGAATAATATGATAAAAAGCAAAGAGTCTTGAATTTTGCGGCACATTCCAGGTACAAGACAATTCAGAGTGCTTTACATAGAACATTTGACGCGTTACATCAAGGCTTTGCAGGGGCTTTTAAAAGCACATGAAGAAAAAAAAAAAGTAGAGGACAGATGATTAAGAGGCTTTATTGTTCGGTGAAACGATCATCGGTTATGTCAGGATACTGCAAAATATGGTGATACAGGGATAGCTTCTGTGAACTGGAACACAGTGTATTCACTGTTGTAATGATATACTGTGTGTAAACACCCAGCAGTAAGTGAGCTTTCCCAGCCTTATCTTTCCCACACACACACATATTAGGGGGTATATATATATATATGTATATACACACACAGACATAATGTAATGTAATAAAATAATGTAAAATTATTATCATGATAATTATACTTTATTTTATTCCTTTTACTTCTCTGTTTATCCTAATATTTCAAGCTTTTCTTTAAATAAACGTCCCTTCGTTTATTTTCTTTGACATGTCGTCAGTTGTAAAGGCTTTGAGATTTGTAGAATATCCCTTCTATTTATGCTCCCAATGAAGACATGCTACAGCCAAATTCCATTGGAGAGCAGTAAAAAAAACATTTGTGAACTCAGTCCCGGACTGGCATTTTACTTTTAAATGGCATTTCTTTACGGGAATAAAAGAAAGGGTGCCTTTGGAAGATGACGCCTTAAACATCTGATGTCTGATCTAATAACTCTTACTGCGTTTCTTGCCGAGTTTGCCTTCAGTCTGAGCAAAATCATCTCCAAAATCATTCAACATAATCGTAATTTTTGCACTTAATCCTTTCAAAACGGCGTTTATAGCCATTGTTTTCATTAAAGTAAAGCTCCCCTCAGAGGCTGTGATTGGATCCTTTCTGGACAGTGAGAAAGGAAGCAGGTAGCTTTCCCCGGGGGCCGTTCAGCATCAAAGGGGGGCACGATGGAGGACATTTGTGGGGGCGAGACGACCCGGCCGATAGTCGTGTCCGAGAGGGCCGCTCCCGTGGACAGATGAGCTCTATTTTTACTCCCATTCCTGCCGGAGGTGTCCGGTTTCTTGGGTGCCGCGAAGGGAGGGGGTGGAGAAAATCGACGCTCCCGTTTCTCAAGAGTACAGTAACACCCCCCCCCCCACCCATCCCCATAAAACACCCACCTCTCCCCCCCAGATTTGGGGGGGAAAAAAAGAAACAGGGTTTAAAAAAAAAAAAAAAAGAGGGTGGCATAGTTTCCCTGGTCAGTTTTTAGGCTTTTCTTTCTGTTACGAGTCTCATTTGGGGAATGGACCGCATTTAGTGAGTCAAAGGGTCCACATAGGAAACGGATTTATAGGAATAGGAAGGATTTTACAGTTTCCAATAAACCAACTTATATCAGATTGTTTTAAGATAAAAATAAAAAAGTGATTTGCTAGGGTCTTGCATTCTTGTTGATCCTATCTATACAGAATCCCACTCCCTTATCAAATAAATATGTAATATTTGATCTAATTAGCACAAAACTGGAAGGAAAATGATTACCTGGTTCATAGACTTCACCCATGTTTCATGGGCTGTTTTCTGCTGCCCCCCTGTGGCTGTTGCGTGCTACTGCATAAGAGACCATCAAAAATTCAGACATGATTTGAGAGTTTATTGCTCAGAGCGGGTGACAGCTTACACACAACATTTCGGGGTGTAGAGCCTGGGTCACGTGATGCGGGCTGTTACCTTTCGAGAGCTTAGCGGCGGTGTCGTTATCTTTTTAAGTTAGATCGACGAACGTAAAAGCGTCCGTTTCAAAAATTCTACAGGACAAAAATATACGAACACGTACATAAAAAAAAACTTAAATTACAGTTTTTCTTTTTTTTTTTTTTTTTCAAGAGATTTTAAAGACTAGGTCCCCTTCTTTAGTGTGATAATCTTTAAGAGAACACGCATGCCAGACCAGGAAGTTACGGAAAGCAGAAGAATCCCATTGTTTACGAGACGCGGCGTGGGGGGGGGGGGGAGGGATACGTGGCACGGCACCGGCAGCTGGAGCCCCCAGATGCGGTAAAGCGTCCTTGTGGTGAAGTTGTCTGTTGCGGGTGGGTGTTGGAGGGTGGGTGTAGAGAACGAATCTTGGACCTTTACTACACCTCGAAGGCCGGGAACTTTGATCTCATGGGCTGCAGAAGGTCTGCCAGGAAGTAGATGGTACCGGCCATGCCTGCAAATAAGAAGTCACGCTGTTACGTTGTTTCTGAAATTATTCATTTTTTTTTTTGTCTTGTGTTGAGCACACTCTATATTTCCAACGGGATTCAATAAAAGTCTTTTTGGCGATCCCCTTTTTAGTGACAAAAACTATCTAGACGAGCATGGTTTGTGTGGAACATTCTGGAGGTATTCGCGTCTGAAAGTCCCTTAGACAGTGGACAACATTAATAAAAGCCATTTGAAAAATAATGAAATTACTTGTAACAAAAGGCTGAAAGAGACCGACAAAGTTGGGGCTTTTTTAAAATGAGGAGACGTTTCGAAAACTGCGCAGGAAGCTTTAACCCTAAGAAAAACCAAAGCTCTGATTTTCTTCGTTTCATCTCGGTTTGGACTCCTATTTTGGACTCCTAAGCTGAGAACACACAGGGTGGAAAACAGGTCGAAATCAAATCTATTCGGGGACGCATGCGGTCATAAACACACCATCTAGACACCGGATAAAATAAAATACAAAATAATAAAAGCATTGAAAGGCTGCTTCTGTTGTCCGACCGTTACCTTCGAAGAGGGAGAAGGGCCGGTCGGGTGTCCGGCATCCATGCCGGCCAAAGTTCATGCACCAGTCCGCAAACTGCAAGAGACAAAAAGGGGACAGACTCATTGGATTTGTAGGCGGTGCGTTCAAGAGCATCGGAGAAAGCTGGGCCGTCTGTATTCTGATGAAGCCTATCGTTGCCCTGCTGTTCCCATAATATCTGATCACTCTACAACCTCAGTACTTCTTTTACTCAGACGTTTTTTAGAAAAATTATAGGAGTTAATTGTTCCCTGATTATAACACAAAGACCAAAACTACTATTAAATAAAAACAAAAAAAGTAAAACTAGTCATAAGCGCATGCAGGAGCTGCGCAAATGGAAACAAATGGACTGGCTCTATTGTTGAGAAAAAAAAAAAAAAAAGCTAATCAAAGCCAGAAGCCCGAAGATGCTACGTTCAACTATCCTGTCATTCTCATTTGAAGTGAGCATCCGGTAAGCGTTTAGCTTTAGAAATGTGACTGTGGTGCGACAGTCAGCGCTCTGATAATACAGCAGGGAAAACGAGGGGCAGACTGGATTAAAACTCTTATGACCCAGCTTTCCACTGGCACCTCGATGCACCACGGAGGAACGTAACCAAGCAAAAAGAGGGCCTCCTCTGTTTGCGTAATTTGAAATGTGCGAATGCAGGGGTGGGGGGGGGTTGGGCCTCCTCCTCACCATGCAGGCCCTGTAGAGGTGCTTGGCCTCCTGCGTCTGTCGGTAGAGGGCCAGGAAGGCGTAGGCGTTGCCGGCCGCGCCGTGGCACAGCCCATAGCCCTTCTTCAGCAGCCCCCAGTGCCACACCACCTCCCCGCAGTGCAGGGCATCCTCCAGGTACTGCGGGATCCCGAACGCCTGCAAACGCAAGAGCCGGAAAATCAACTAACAATTAAACTAACAAATAAAAATCAGATTTCATGCAGCGTCAAAGAAAACCCGAGATCCCTCCGCAAGATGGAGGCGTGACTCCGCTAATCGGTAAGACAAGATGGCGGCCGTCGGCTCGCTTGCCCTGTACGCCTGCAGCAGCATGTAGATGACCCCCGGGGAGCCGTGGCACCAGTGCACCAGCAGGTCCCGGTCGTCCCCGATGCAGGGGGGGGTAGTTCCCCGTGGGGAGCTTGAGGCGGCAGACGTGGTCCACGCTGGGCTTCACCAGCCTGTGCACGTGCTCCTCGGTGGACACCAGGCCCGGCTGTGGACGGACGCGGGGGGGGCACAGAGACTCTATTAGATATAAATGACCACATATTATAAGGAAAAAAAACTAAAGAAAAACAAAATAAAAGCTTGTTTATTCTTATAGGCTCTTATTGGTCAGGGGTCGGGAACCTATGGCTCGCGAGCCAGGTGTGGCTCTTTTGATGATTGCATCTGGCTCGCAGATAAAACAAAAATATTCTCACTTGTATACAAATACAAGCTACAAATATCCATCCATCGATTTTTCACTGCTCATGTCCTGTTCAGGGCTGCAGGAGCAATTGTCCATTATTTTAATTGGATGATACTGGACTACGTTGGGCCGTTGCAGCGTAAAATAGGTAAACGCCCCCTTTTGAATCAGTCCTCTCGGTCATTCGCTCAACGCTAACTCTTCGACGAAGAAGATGGCGAAAAGAAAAAAAGATGACGAGTATCGTACATTTCAGGACGAATGGACTGAAAAATTCGGCTTTGTGGAGAGAGGAAAGTCTAATTTGCAATGACAAAATTGCATCGATGAAACGGTCGAATGTAAAGCGGCACTTCTAAAATATATTATATGGCTCTCACTGAAATAAATGTCCAAATTTTTTGCTTTCATGGCTGTCTTAGTCAAAAAAATTCCCGACCCCTGTTATAGGTTGTTGGTCAGTTTTAAGCTGAATGTTTGGCAAAATTCATCTCGTATTCTTCCACAATCATAACTTCCTGTTATATTCCTCATCGGAGAGCCTTTTACAGAACTTTACAGAGCTTCAGACCACCTGCATGAGGAAGTAGTAGATGCCGGCCAGGCCGTGGGCGGCCCCCACGTACTGCTCCTGGTACCACTCGTACATCAGGGGGCTCTGGTTCTGGACCCGGAACTTCCTGCTGAGCTGTTCACCCGACATCAGTATGGCCTCGCTGATCTAGGGGAGGAAAGAAAACATTCAAAACTATTTAAGAAAAAAACACAATTGCGTCTGGAAGAGATAAAATCATGTCGACCGGGAAGACGTAAGGATGTAATGTTGCCCATATTTAGAGAGCTTTTGGAGGATGGATTACAAAATGGTAAAAATAGAGTTAATAAAGAGGTTTAAAATGGACCGGGGCAGTCCCTGTTGTGACACTCTACGGCCAAACTTTCCATCTTTAATCATAGTCTTATTGCTATCATAACTTCTATCATTATCATTAGTATTAATATCATTGCCATTTTTCATCTAGTCTATGTGTTGCTGTGTAGGCTGCCTCTCTCTGCTCCCTCTGTTCTTCTCTCGCCCTCTCTCTCTTGCCCTCTCTTTCCCTCACCCCCAACCGGCCGAGGCAGATGGCCGCCCACCCTGAGCCATGGTTCTGCTCGAGGTTTCTGCCTGTTAAAAGGAAGTTTTTCCTTGCCTGTCTGGGTTTCTGTGAGACAACTGTTGTTGTGATGTGGTGCTATATAAATAAAATTTAATTGAATCCAAACTTTGACCACATGGATGACGTTTGAAATCACAATAATCATCCTCCATGTTCTGAAGCCCTTTTATTTTGAAAGCCTCTTCCTTTTGAGTCTGTTTTTGGGCACTCTGCCCGTCCCCCACCTGCTGGATGTACTGCAGAGGGATCCTGTCCTGCCCCAGCTGCTGGTTGATGAAGACGAGGGCGTAAAGGTAGCCCGCCCGCCCGTATAGCAGCTCGTCGGGCAGCTCCCCCGCACCCTTCACCACCGTCTGGTGGTACTGCATCAGTCTGGGAACGAGAGGCCGCAGTTCTTCAAAAAAAAAAAAAAGCGACCGGTAAACCGCTCTCGGTGGACCGGAATAAGTTAACTAATTGACTGCCAGCCATTTTCAGAACAGAGAGTCCCATACTGCCAGAGTTTTTTTGAGCATTTTGACTGATTTTTCAAGAGCCACAGAATAGTTTGTGCTATGACTATGTAAACACCGAACACACCAAAAAAAGAGTAGACTTTTTTCTTTCATCAGGAATTTTTTTTTGTTTCTACCTTATTCCGTTCTTCCTCGACTTGCGTCTCACCGGCGACATGTTCTCTCATAGCGAAACGTTACCTTTTTCTTATTTGCCTACAGTCTATGCTCATCTCCCATCAAAAGTGGCACTGCCACGTAGAGGGTCAATTTGTTAGTACATACTCTGTCTAGAAGGCTGATATTTACGGACAAGCTTTAGCAGATCGTCCCCCAAGCCACTCTCGTTGAAAAACATAAAAGACGTCTATAGATGTCTTTGGCAGTCAACGGTTGTATTTAAATTGACGTCTATAGACGTCTTTGGCAGCCAATGAGTTAATAACCCCCGCAAATGAGAAAATTAAGACAAAAAAAATACGCAACTGAATGCGGAAAAGCTGTGACAAATCACCGCCGACCTGTTGATGCACTCGTCGGCCTCCTGGAACCTCTGGAGGCGGCAGTAGACCACGGCGGCCACGGCCAGCGGCCCCGCGTCGCCGCACAGGAAGGTGACGTCGCGGCGGCGGGTCAGGCAGCGCAGGCCCCGGCTCACGTGCTCCAGCGCCTTCTGGAGGAAGGCGGTCTCCTGGAACACGCCGTGGAGGTGCAGGTACAGCAACGCCACGCCTGCGGACCCCCAAAGACACACTTTAACCCCCCTACGCCCACCAATCCAGCTGGTGACAACGGAGGAAAATGAATGGATTTCTATTTTTTTCGTTCGGTTTTTCTGCATAAATTTCTTGAGCTACTTCAGGCTTGCTCTAAGCCACTTAAAATAAAAAAAATTGTAATATTTTCAGTTGAATATATTTGATGAAAATAAACACAAATGAGGAGTTACTTCCCACATGTTTTCCTACAATCCTCTTAAGGACAAAAATGTCCAATTCAAAACTTTCCTCTCAAGTCATTAAGGACAAACAAACATGTTCACTTCCATAAACCAGGACAGAAATAGCACAGATTACTTCAGTCCAAGATATTTTGTCTTAAAATTCAGCTCAACTTCAGTTCTTATCAAAGCTGAAAGCACAAAAATGAAAGAATCATCTGGATTTTAACATTATCGTCATGAGTCATATATTTTTTTATGGAAAAAAAAGTTAAAATAATCATTTTTCATATAGGAAAGAAATCGGTTGGGGTATTTTTTAGTTTATGTCCGTCCTAATCAGACTTGGATATGAAGACGATTACCCAAAATCTTTGCCAGCATGACTTGCTTTTTGCGTGACATCAGATTTAACACTTACTTTTAAAGCCATGTCGCCAAATTAAAAACATTAAGTTTTAAACTTGTTCGTTTTTACCAAATATTGTAATATCTTATGCAATACTCAGGTTTCTTTAATTCTCTCAATTCTTACTGTTCACCTTAAAACTAGCCATTTCCTGCAGTCTAGGCCTATATATACACTGATCATTTCAGGTTTTTGGGGAGGTTTATTGAGCTTCCCGACCCCCATGCTCAGGTCACAAAGTCCTGCCAGACTCCAGCAGGACCCGTTTCAACCCAGTGAACCCTCATCATGAGCTGGCCCGCTCATACATAGTTAGGTGGGCTTTGAAACTTCCAAAAGATGCTGGACTCTTAGCCCCCCTGATGACACGGGTTGGGATGCGCTGGGTGATGACGTCATTAACAAAAAAAGTCTCTAGCCCTTTTTTTTTTTTTTTTTTTCCAATGGCAGCTTTTTTTTTTTTTTCTCCCCCAAATGGGCACTTTAGGGTTAAGAGAAAATATTAGATTTTAAAACCCCACCTGCCCAGCCTGTGTAGGTGGTGCAGTCTCTGGGATCGGCGGATTTCAGCCCATTTTCCATGACGGCCAGCAGCTCGCTCACGCTGCTGCTCAGCCTATGCGCAAACTCCGGCGTGAGCTGAGTGGGGGGGCGGAAAATATAAACAATAAAAAATAAAGAGTCAAGACATTCAATTCAAGTTACAAACTGGAAGCACGCGCACACGACTTACCTTCCCCTGACAGTCGAAGAACGCCTGCGTTGAAGCGGGACTCCCATCGTAATCTGCGTACGGATTCTTCAACGCTCTCGTGTCCATTTTTTATTTCCACAGCCGTGCTGCGGCTGCGCTGCTTTATTTATAAACTGCAGACAAAAGGAGGGCGCGGAGGAAGATAATTCATTGGAAAAAAAATAAAAAAAATAAAACGAATAGCAAGCTTTCGGTGTCGCCGCGCGAAAAAAAAACAACGCGAACCAAAATTAAACTCGCGCGGCGCTACACGCCCCCACGCACGAGCTTAACTCGGCTCAGTTTAGCTAGCTTAGCCCAGCGGCTAGCAGCCCAGTGGCGCGACATATGTGGCGAATTCCGAAAAACAAAAGGCGCCGCGCCTCGTAAGCATGCCACACGAAATAAAAAATAAGGTAGAGGAGATGGGTGATTTATGCACATGGGAACAGTACCTCTGCGAGTGCTGGGATGTTGACGTTCAGTCTTCTTTGCGACGCCTTTATGTTTTGGTAACGTCGCGGCTAGCTAGCTCCCTACTGGCATCTCCTGCACCGGAAGAGGAACTACAAGTCTTTGAATAACTTAAAATCTTTTAAATTTTTAATGTTTTCAGAAAAAGACGACAAAATCTGAAGAAATGTAGAAAGAAAAATAAGGGGGAAAAAATGGAGAAGAAAAAAACGGATACATGAACTAATACAGTACTGTTTAGAGTTAATTGGTGGTCAAAGCTTTTTAAAAAATTTAATTAAACTTTTATTTTTATTTTTTACTCATGTTCATATATTTAAAAGGGAATGTTAATAAGTCATGGGTACTGATGCTGATGATCCAATTTGAAATGCTAAGCAGTACGAAGATGATATGCAATTTTTGAAACCTGCTCTTCTTTATTTGATGCCAAACAACAGACCTGTGGTGTTTATTCTCCAATTCAGAACGGAGCTTGTGAACAATATGAGCGTGTGCATGCTTTCTAACCGAACAATTGTGACTTCCCGTACAAACATGATGCTGCCATGGAAACCTCTCATGCCACCAACCAGCTCTTCCCTGATGGTAAAGCCCTGTTGGCGTGTTGTCTCTGTGCTCTGATGGTGATTGCAGCAGTTTCAGAGGACGCATGTTTTGAGAGGCTATGGCCATCGCCTGCTTAAGGATCAAATTCAATGTCTATCCGGCTGTTTAACAGACTATTTGAATGAGATATTTCTTCTTTCATACAGACGCTAATACCCCCAGACTGTCAAGCAGGAAGAGGTTCAATCTGACCTCTCATTCTAACTTGATTCAGTTTCTGAGTTGCTTCTATTCAGGACTCATTTAGATGCTTTTCAAAACCTCCCAGCTTGTTGACTGGGGCAATCTTGTCTTTGACAAAGTGCAAATGAAGCTGACAACACTGTCTAGAGCGTCAGATTTGCCTCCATCATCACCGTTGGTCTTTCATATTTTTTATTTAAAAAAAAATTGTTTACCTCCCTGCTTTTTATCTGTCATTATTTCCATATCAATTGACCGGGCTACAGCAGGTGAAGGCCAGTCATGCGGCAAAGTGCGGAGACTTCCACCTCAAGACTGTTTTACCTTGCCTAGGGGGACGGGGAATGGAAATGAGGTCGGGAGTGCAACAAGATTCAGAAGGAGACCTTCGGGGCTTGATTAGGGCTTCATGTTGAAAGACACATTATTGAACTGAGCTTCTCTCAAACCACCCCACTCGCGGGAAAGAGCGCTTCCTGAAGGAAAGCATACTGGAAGGAGGAAAAATATTGATCGTCTTTTGTTTTGTTGCTTGCACACGATACCAAACGTGACCCGTACAGGGTTTGTTGCTCTTAATGAACCGTTATGAATAAAAAAACAACCAAAACTATTCAAGCAACAAAAAGTTGACCCTTCGAGCTAAATCGATGGTGTCAAAAGATATTTTCTGAATGCTGTTCCATACATTTTCATTGTTGGCAATCCACACTTAAGGTGGTTAAAACAGCTGAAACTTTCCTAATTCAAAGAATCTGACTTCATATTGAAAATTGAAATCTTATTGATTAAGAGATGTGTCATTCATACACGGCTTGAAAAACGTCTTGTTAGAATTATCAGTGTTTTCTGAGTTTAATAACTAACTAATATACTGTATATGTTAAAAGACATGTGATCTAAAACTATATTTAAAATCTACATTATCCTATAAATGGAAAATTTGCTAATATTAGATGCAGTTTATGGGAATTTATGGGAACATCTTCGGCACTTTGAGCTGTAAACTCCAGTCACATAATAAAGACCATAACATAAATAGAAAGAACAGAGAATAACATTCTGTCATTTGGGGTGCCTTCTATATGGATGACGGCCGAAACGAGGCCATTTTTCAAAGGACAAAAGGACACAGTTTTTGCTCTTCTTCACAGGAAACACTTGTTTCCTTCCCTCTCTCATCAATCTAACAGTAAGCCTGTAAAAAAACAACAAACAACAACATAAGAACACCATCATCGTGATTAAAATTCAGCATGGATGTGGGACATTCGATCACGCAGAAGCTGTCATAGCAGCAGGTATCCTCCTAATGTGAATAAATGAGAAACTCAACTGTACAACGCGTTTCCAGGGAACCGTGGCACAGCAAAACCTCGAGAGTAAGTAAAACACTCCTCACTCACACCTGCCTGACACAATCTGTGTAACCTCAACGCAAAGCGACAGTCTGACAAACTCCACTCTGGATCCGTCCCGACTGATTCCCCCCCACTCCTCGCCGCCGCCGTCGGCCTGATTTTCCCTCCTCTCGGTGTCTCCCTTCACTCCCCGGTATATTCAGAGGTGGATAGTCCACCGTTTGACCCTGCGGGCGGCTGCCAAACGGGAGGGATTTGAAGTTTTTGCCGCGTCTGGCCAGAAACCGACTCAGCTCTACAGGCCCGAGTAAGCCCACGGAAAGGTTTGTAACGTGTGATTATCCGCTGTGCTCGGCTCTTTCTTGTAAATAATCGTTTCCCCACAAAGGTGTGCCCTACAATTACCCTTCCTCGTGATAGCATGTTTGGTTAAGAGCCCCCCCCCACCCCATGAAGGAGCTGACAAAGCAGCTGCCAGCATTGTGCCCACCATTTTTTTTTGTTAGAAGCAATTACGGCCACAAATCGGGAAAAAAGGGAGTGGGCGGAGGGGTAGAAAAGGCACCTCTCCTTCCATCATTTCCCTCCCCAGGCGGACAGGATCCATTTCGGTCCCGGGAACGGCTCTGACAGCTGAGATAAAGAACATTCTGGTCCCTGACACGCTGCCACGGCCCCCCATCTGCGGCGGGCGCTAAAAATACCCGCAGTCTGGTGTCGCCATACCCGCCGACTGTTGGGGAGACGCGTGGAGGCCGGCGGGAGGGAAAGGAGAAGGAGGCGACGGGCAGACAGATATGACTCAAATCGTGAGAGGAGAGAAGCGGAGATTTGGAAGTCTGATGCAAGGCCGAGAAAGATGGAGGATGAGTAAACTCCAAGTGCAAGATACAACTGATCCGGTACATGACAGGCGCAATACGATTCGGTCAAATCCACAGTGAGACTAACTTACAATACAGAGCCATTGTTTAAGGTTATGGTTTTGACTGTTAAAAACCGCTAAAACTTCCCCATCTCCGTCAAGTTGGATTAATTCTTCTGGTGCGTAGAAACCTCTAAGTCGTTCACAGACGTTGAAATCTCTCATAGTTCTGAGTGAACATTACTATTAGCGTCATTGTCATGGTCGAAAAAATGAGTCGTTGCCCCTCTATCAAAAGTTTTAAAAACAAGTTTGAAAGTAGCACCATACAAATTCCCTTAATTGATATATTTTTTGGGCCTTTTTAGGTCTATGTAAGCCAAAGAGTTCCGCAGCATGATGCATCAACCACCGTGTTTCACCATGATTTGCTACTTCAATCTTATCAATGCTCGCAAGGCAAGTTCTATTAGGAGCATGACTACATGAAACAGTTTACGGTATACGAGACAGTTTCCTATGCTGTAAGTCCACTTGCAGTCTAAACAGGCAAAAAAAAGGCATGCCTACGGAGGAGACAAAGGCTTTACTGGTCTTGTCACATCTATAGAACTTCAGCCAAGGTTTGCTGTCATCGAGAGGAGTGCTCGCTTTCTCCCCGATCGCGCGGACAACTGACACGATGGCTGGTTGTGTCTCGTTTTGAGACCTGTGTCCTGCTTCTGTCAAGAGCAATTTGCTCCGTCCTCAGTCGCACGCAGAGCAAAGCAGCTTGAATGGCATCTGGTCGCAAAAAACTGAATAAAGATCTTTATCTTATCTTCTAGTTTTTGTTCATCACATTGGCGCTATTGAGGTGTCTAAAGGGTTCCCTCTCCAATCATTGACTGATATAGAAACCAGACATACTGATCACATCTGTTTATGTGGCTGTAGTTTGACTGTTCAATCCAATTGAGGTTTATATAAATTTATAATTTCTGTTCTATATCTTTATTTCTAGATTGTATGTCTTTTCTTGCTTCTCATAGAAGCGTTGTGCACCAAACACCAAAGCAAATTCCTTGTAAGTGAAAAACCTACTTGGCAATAAATCTTATTCTGATTCTGATTCAGATTTACGATTGAGAACCAAATGATGGCGCATCTATGCCTAAAATTGTGTGCAGATGGAGCCTTCTCTTCGTCTCCTCCATTAATTTAATCTGTGTGTTGGTATGTTTTCAGAAAACCTGTGGATGCATAGCTAAAAGGGCCAATGAAAATCATGGAGGCAGTGTTGCGCACATATACGATTAACATAAGACACAAACGGCCGAGCTTTTAAAAGAGAGCTCGTGCCGGCCCGTCCACCGGGGTCCGGCTTCCTCATTTCGTATTCCAACTCGTCCGATGCCCATGAAACGATAACTAGTCAAGCCCTGATTTTTCCAGTCTAAGACGATTCACCAAGGTCAGGTTGCTTCTATCTGTGGCTTTTATTTCTCCCAGACTCAATTATGGCAGTGCCCTTTAATCTGGTACAAGAAGGGGGAAACGTAACGAGGCTGCTGCTGAATTACAGATAGATTGGTGATAGAGGCCACGAGGTATGGCTAAAAGCTTCTCCAGTGCCACTGATGAACCTTAAGGCTCAAACGCTGCTCTTTTCTTTCATTTGATAACGAGCGCTTAGCACGTTTCATTGTAAAATTCCGGGTAATTTTCCCTCTCATCATGCCGAAGGTAGATTTAAAAAAAAAAAGAAAAGAAAAGGGGGTTGCCAATCATAACAAAAAAAAGGAATATTACAAAGGCACTGATTGGAACAACTATGATGCAGAAAAGCTTTGGCTCTTTTATGCCGCGACCAGCCAGAGCTAATTTCCCTTAAGTGAAATGGATGCAGACAAAGAAAGCTGATTACTGTCAGTACACACAGTTTTGCTTGTCTCTCTTTCCCCCCCATCCTCCCACGGCGTCTGGTCTCCTTTCGAAATTGAGTTAT